TACAGCTGATTCGGAAAATCATGAGCTGCGCCACTTTTTTGCGCGTTGCGTCGTGTACGAACCCTACGTTGGGGTTGTCTGTGTCAAGAGCGCAGACACGCCAGCGATACACGTTGATACGCTCCCCATGGGCTTCCGAACGATTAGTGACGACGTCAAACTACGTGCTTTGCATCTGATTGACAGGGGACTCGAACGCGAAGCGATATGTAGCATTCTTGGCGTGTCTCTTGCTAGCTTGACACGATGGAAACACAATTTTGAGGAACATGACTCCCTTGCTCGACCTCCCCGGTCCATTCGTGGCCGACCCTCTCGGACGACGGGCGAGCAGCGGTCCGACATCCTGAATCTACTTATAGAGGCTCCAGACCTCTATCTTGACGAAGTCCAGCAGTGGCTTGCTATTGCCCACGAATTGGCTCTCTCGAAGACCGCGATTCATGACCTCATCAACGACTCTGGCTATACCTACAAGAAGCTGCAGAAGTCTGCCATTGAGAGGGATGAAGGACAACGGGCTACGTGGCGTCAGACTGTGCAGCAACACTTGCGTGCGCGGATGATCGTCACGGTTGACGAATCAAGCAAGGACGGGCGGACTCTGTGTCGGGTTTACGGTCGTTCGCAGGAAGGGGATCGAGCTCCGATGGCAAATCCTTTGGCCAGAGGAGTAAGATATAGTGTTGTAGCAGCCCTGTCCCTCTCGGGATACGTGTCGACGCGTGTTGTGGAGGGCTCCGTCAACGCATACGAATTCTTTGACTTCATTGTCGAGGAAGTGGTACGTCACATCAGGAAATGCATTTGAAGTAGTCTGACGAGTGCATAGCTTCCGCGCATGAACCCATATCCACAAGACCAGAGTGTCCTCATCCTCGACAACTGCTCGATCCACAAAATGGACACGCTACGTCGTGTTGTTGAGGGACAAGGTCTGTGTCTCATGTTGCAATCTCTCATCCCACGACGGTCCTGATGTTATGGCAGGATGCCTTTTAGTCTTTCTCCCACCATACTCACCGGATCTCAACCCTATTGAAGAGAGTTTCAGTGCATGTGCGTGTGCAATACACTTTGTCGCTCCAACTCAGTCGCTAACTTTATGCCAGTGAAGGCATGGCTTCGCAGAAGCTATCGACATCTTCTCAACAGCAATAACCCAATTTTAGATATACACGAAGCATGTGCTCATGCTGTCACTGCCGACAAGGCAATAGGCTGGTTTAGACATAGTGGTTACCGTATCGGATAATGATCTACGCGCTATTCATTTTCTCCTTGTACTTCATGTTTGCCCGAACAACACTTCCCCACCCAAGCTTCTCAAATCCTTTCTCCTTCCAATCATCCTCCGTAATCTGAGCCAAACTCATTCCAGGCTGAAATTCCATCCGCTCAAGCCGATCACGGATAGTTGATGATAGACGATACTCTGCGCAAAATTCTTCCAGCGACACTGGATCCATTACCGGTGAAGATTCCCGATCATCAAACGATCGCTTGTTACGGAGCTGTGGAGTCACGAATCCGCTGCCGCTCGGGTAACTAGAATGGGGCGCAAAGCCAGGTGAATATGGGAATGGCATCGGCATGAACGGGAAAGATGGAGCAAATGAAGGAAACATGTATGGTTGACCTGGCGTCGGCGTAGATGGCTGCATGGAGGTAGATGGTTCCGGCGCAGCAGATACAGCAGACTTCTTCAAGGCAGTCCGGACATTGAATGTAGCAGACGGAATCTTTGGACATACAATCGAGGCCTCGCCTCGTACCTGTACAATCTGAGTCAGATTGCAACCCCGCTTGATTGAATGCATCACATACAATCTGTGCTGCCCACGCAAGGCGTGCCGGCTCCTTCAAGTCAAAGTGAAGCTGTGATTCGTGACCAAAGAAGCATGGAATCTTGGGATGTTCTTTGCACTTTCCAATATGCCATGTCTCGAGGATCCTCTGCGCATAATGCTCGATAGGTTCATCCTTTCTTCCCCTGCTAAGTATGCTCTTCCGGTCTAAGTCTGCATCACCTTCGTCACTTGGTGAACTGCTATCATCCGCCTTGGCGGCCCAAGTCTGGAATTCGGGCGTTAGAACTATAGACAGCAATCAGTGTGTTCACATACAGGAGTATCAGGTTTGTCTCTCTTTGGCTTTGCCATGCGAACGAAGATATTACATTGCGAAGGCTTCTTGCCGTCAAACTGCGCAAGCATTGCTCGATAGCCCTCGGGTTTGCTGAGTGGGAGGAAGGGAGCATTCTTCGGTCTGACAAATCTCCACATGAACGATGAGATTGGGAGTTGATCGACGGAACCAACTCCCTCGATCGTGTCTGCAGTTCGTGCAAGAAATGCCTCCCACGAGAAGTCCATGGGAATTTCCGCGGGGCCATCGTGATGGATGGTTTCTTTCTCCTTGGGATTTTGCGACCTTCCCCTGACACGTGTCCCAGACGAGGCTGGCACCACAATCTCGTAGTAGACATTGAATGCCTGCTCTTCTACATCATCACCACGCGGGACCGGAGGCTGTTTACCACGTCCTAAAGTTGTAGACGTACGACGGACTGCGATAGGCGTGATTGGAACCTCGAGCTCCGAGTTCGGCCATGGCGTGGCACCGCCAGTCTCTTCCAGGTCCCAATTGAATGGAGACTCGGAGAACGGATCCCCCTCTTCCTCCTCCTTCTCTTCTTCTTCTTCCTCCTCCTCCTCCTCCTCTTCACGTTGCACAAGAACATCCTCGCGGTGCTGATGGTCCTCGTCACTCGAGCTCGAGTCTCTATCACTGGACAGCTCGACTTTATGGATAATCAGTCAACAATGTCATTCTGAGCAAGGACAATCTCGTACTCGGGTCGGATTTAGCAAGCGTGGGTGCCGGAAGCTTGATGAAAAGCTTCTGAGAGCCTGGAAAGGAGAGTATGAAACCCATAGATAGCAGTGGAGACCGAGAACAGCAATAGCCTCTCCATACCTGACCTCGCATTTTCCTCCTGCTCGCATGGTTCTTGATCACTTGCCCTAGCCTTGGGGGGCCGTCTGCTGCGAGATTTGGAGACTTTCGACCGTTTCGGAGGCATGATTCAGTGGGCTATCGAGCGCGTACACGGTG